TCCCCACCCCTAAACCATATTTATTCTTGTATTTGACAATAAAACAAATCAAATAAAATTTAGGGGAAGTCCAGGAGGGTAAACACCACCCCCTTCTTTTTGAAAACTTGTAAACAGTCAAAATCCCCACCCTGAAACCATTTTTCTTCTTGTATATTACAATAAAACAAATCAAATGAAATAAAAGTCGAGTCCCCTGGGGTCACCCCACCTTTTTCCTGTTTAAGAACTTGTAAACGGTTAAGATCTGTCACCCCTAAACCATATATATTCTTGTATGGGACAATAAAACAAATCAAATGTAATATAGGGGATGTCCATTGGGGTAACCCCCACCCCCTTCTTTTTGATAGCTTGTAAAAGGTCAAGATTTTCACCAAGAAACCATATATATTCTTGTATGGGACAATATATCAAATCAAATGAAATATAGATGAAGTCCACGGGGGGTAAATCCCAAACCCCTTCTTTTTGAAAACTTGTAAACGGTTGAGATCCCCACCCCTAAACCATATATATTCTTGTATGGGACAATAAAACAAATCAAATGAAAAACAACGGAAGTCCCCAGTGGTAACCCCCACCCCCTTCTTTTTGAAAACTTGTAAACGGTTGAGATCCCCACCCCTAAACCATATATATTCTTGTATGGGACAATAAAACAAATCAATTGAAATTTAGGGGAAGTCCCCTGGGGTAACCCCCACCCCTTTTTTTTGTTGAAAACTTGTAAACAGTCAAGATCCCCACCCTGAAACCATATATATTCTTGTATGTTACAATAAAACAAATCAAATGAAATATAAGTCAAGTCCCCTGGGGTCATCCCCACCTTCTTTCTGTTTAAGAACTTGTAAACGGTCGAGATCCCCACCCCCAAACCATATATATTCTTGTATGGGACAATAAAACTAATCAAATGAAATATAGGGGAAGTCCATTGGGGTAACCCCTACCCCCCTTTTTTTTTGATAACTTGTAAAAGGTCAAGATTCCCACCCTAAAACCATATATATTCTTGTATGGGACAATATATCAAATCAAATGAAATATAGGGGAAGTCCACAGGGGTAAACACTACCCCCTTCTTTTTGAAAACTTGTAAACGGTTAAGATTTCCACCCCTAAACCATATATATTCTAAAAAAATAAAGCAAATTAGATTTAGGGGAAGTCCCCTGGGGTAACCCCTACTCTCCTTTTTTTTGAAAACTTGTAAACGGTCAAGATCCCCATCGCGAAACCATATAAATTCTTGTATGTTACAATAAAACAAATGAAATGAAATAAAAGGTGAGTTCCTTGGGGTCATTCCCACCTTCTTCCTGTTTAAGAACTTGTAAATGGTTGAGATCCCCGCCCCTAAACCATATATATCCTTGTATGGGACAAAAAACAAATCATATGAAATAAAGGGCAGGTCCCCTGGGAAAATTAATCAGTTTGTGTGTGTTATATTTGAACATAAATTAAATATATATAGAGTTCTTTCAAGTGCTGAATCTGAACTTGTTTTTAATTAGATAATAATCTATTTTCATTATGAGATAAAGTTTTTGACATTGATAGATAAGTTGCAGATTTGACACATGAAAGAAACAATATTAGCAACTATTAATTAAATTTGATTATAATATGGAAATATATATATCATATCTGATTTTAGAGAAGTATTTTGCTGGTTTTTTACTGGTTTATGGAAATAAGTTTGAGTTATTTTTTTTGAAAAGTGATGCGTTTAATTGATAGATATAAAATCATATCTAATTTTAGAGATTTATTAGTGGTTAAGTCATATCTAATTTTAGAGAATTATTTTGGTGTTTTGTTACTGGTTCATGGAAATAAATTTGAGTTTTATCTTGTAAACGGTCGAGATCCCCACCCCTAAACCATATATATTCTTGTATGGAACAATAAAACAAATCAATTGAAATATTGGGGGAGTCCCCGGGACCACCCCCACCCCCTTTCTTTTTGAAAACTTGGAAACGGTCAAGATCCCCACCCTGAAACCATATATATTCTTGTATGTTACAATAAAACAAATCAAATGAAATATAAGGCCAGTCTCCTGGGGTCACCCCCACCCCATCCTGTTTGAAAACTTGTAAACGGTCGAGATCCCCACCCCTAAACCATATATATTCTTGTATGGGACAATAACACTAATCAAATGAAATATAAGGGAAGTCCCCTGGGGTAACCCCCACCCCCCTTCTTTTTGAAAACTTGTAAATGGTCAAGATCCCCACCCTGAAACTATATATATTCTTGTATGGGACAATAAAACTAATCAAATGAAGTAAAAGGCGAGTCCCCTGGGGTCACCCCAACCCCCTCCTGTCTGAGTACTTGTAAACGGTCGAGATCCCCACCCCTAAACCATATATATTCTTGTATGGGACAATAACACAAATCAAATGAAAATATAGGGGAAGTCCATGGGGGTCACCCCCACCCCCTTCTTTTTGAGAACTTGTAAACAGTCAAGATCCCCACCCCAAAACCATATATATTCTTGCATGGGACAATAAATCAAATCAAATGAAATATAGAAGAAGTCCATGGGGGAAACCCCCACCCCCTTCTTTTTGATAACTTGTAAACGGTCGAGATCCCCACCCCAAAACCATTTATATTTTTGAATGGGACAATAAAACAAATCAAATGAAATTGAGGGGAAGTCCCCTGGGGAAACCTCCACCCCCTTTTTTTTTTGAAAACTTGTTAACGGTCAAGATCCCCACCCCAAAACCATATATTTTCTTGTATGGGACAGTAAAACAAATCAAATGAAATATAAGGCGAGTCCCCTTGGGTCACCCCCACCCCCTCCTGTTTGAGAACTTGTAAATGGTTGAGATCCTTACCCCTAAACCATATAAATTCTTGTATGGGACAATAAAACAAATCAAATGAAATATAGGGAAAGTCCATGGGGGTAACCCCCATCCCCCTTCTTTTTGATAACTTGTAAACGGTCGAGATCCGCACCCCTAAACCATATATATTCTTGAATGGGACAATAATTAAATCAAATGAAATTGAAGGAAAGTCCCCTGGGGTAACCCATACCCCCCTTCTTTTTGAAAACTTGTAAATGGTCAAGATCCCAAACCCGAAACCGTATATATTCTTGTATGGGACAATAAAACAAATCAAATGAAATATAAGGTGAGTCCCCTTGGGTCACCCCACCCCCCTCCTGTTTAAGAACTTGTAAATGGTTGAGCTTTTCATTATTAATAAGATAATACCACATTGAGGTCCAAAGGGTCCTAAATTAAACTTTTGTTTAATTTCATCAAATATTGAATTCTTTGGTTCTTTGATATGCTGATTCTAACAATGTTTGAGTGTTAAATCATATCTAATTTTAGAGAACTTAGTCATCACTGGTTGTTGTTATTATATTATTGATTATAATTTGAAAAATTGCATCATATCTTATTTTAGAGAACTATTTATCCAGTTTGAGTTATTTCCATTTGCACAGAAAATATTATGGATAAAATTAACCTGTGTTTCATTTCAACATAAATTAAATATATATACAGGGTTCTTTCAAATGCTGAATCTAAACTCTGTTTAAATATTAGATTTTTAGGCCCAGTTTTCAAGTTGGTCCAAATCAGGGTCCAAAATTAAACTTTGTTTGATTCAACAAAAATTGAATTTATGGGGTTCTTTGAAATGCTGAATCTAACCATGTATTGAGAGATTTTGGATTGTGGGCTCCTTTATCAAATTGGTCCACATTGAGGTCCAAAGGGTCCTAGATTAAACTTTTGTCTGATTTCATCAAAAATTGAATCCTTGGGGTTCTTTGATATGCTAATTCTAATATGTACTTAGATTTTGGATATTAGACCATAATAGGTATTTAAATGTCCAATTCCAAATATATCAGTTCTTTGACTACATTCATTTTGTGTCACAAACCTATGATGTGTCAAATATTCAATCACAATCCAAATTCAGAGTTGTTTTAAGTTTAAATGTACTGTCCATACTTGCTCAACTGTTCAGGGTTCGACCTCTGCAGGAAAATACGGTTTGCTGTCTCCCTGACAGCCTCTTGTTCTAGTTTTCAGACAACAACTTGTGTTTAAGTGTATGGATGTCTCTTAAATTGTAGGACATTTTACAAAAAGAAAATTTCTTCAAGTATTAATTTTTTTTGGAAAGGGGGGGGGGGGGGGGGGGGGGGGGGGGGAGGTTAAACAAAATTTCTTTTTTTTGGGGAGGGGGGGATTTTTTTTTCCTCAAGATTTAAGAAATTATCAATTTTCCAAAAGAAAAATTGGGGGTCACAATTTATTTTGCTAATTCTTTGTATATAGTCTGAAAACAGATTTACTAAGTATTGTGCAACAGTACAGTGTATTGCACAACAGCAAGAAATCTTCAATTGAATATAAATTCAAATCATATAACCAATTTCAAGTTCTTCGACTACATTTATTCTGTGTCAGAAACCTATAATATGTCAAATATTTAATTACAATCCAAATTCAGACCTGTATCAAGCTTAAATATTGTGTCCATTTTTGCCCCAACTGTTCAGGGTTGGACCTCTGCGGTCGTATCCAGCTGCGCTCAGCGAAGCAGTTTATGACTTTTTGTCAGATATTCGAAATCCTCTAGTTTATTGTAAAGCCTGCTTTTCATAATTGTATTATTTAAAATTTAAGAAGCCATTTTTAAAAATCTAATAAGATCCTTGGTTTATTTTTCATAGTTTTTGAAAGAAAAAGATGCTAATATTAAATTACGAAAAATCTAGAGAGAATCATTTCCTGCCAAATTTTCAATTGATTATATCTCAAAATCAAGGACAGAGACCTTTTATTTTTTTCTGCCTTGTAAGTTTCCTTTATTCATATACTATCAATTTATTACAGTCTTTTAAAAAGCTTGTTATTTTGAAAGAGAGGAGCAAACATCCTTAAAGCAGGCAATATATTTTAGTGAATGGACTCTTGTTTGATTTACAGTAAACCTAAAGTACCAGCTGCAAGTACTCCTACCAGTCACCAGCCAGAAACCAAAGTCTCTGTTATACAGCCACCATTACCCAAACCACCTGATGATTCTGACAAGAAAACTGATCCATCACCTGCTAAGGTCATGGATGAATCAGTCAAAAGAAAAAATATGGAGGATCTTGATAAATTAAAAAAACAAGCTGATGACTTGAGGAAAATGATCCTTGGATCAATGGCAACTCTTGAGAATTCTATGAAGAAAGATGCAGTTTACCAGGGGAATCTTAACAAGGAATTCACATCACCTGCTAGAATAATCAGAATTTTTACCAGTAGTACATTTACAGGTAAGAAAATGACATTTTCTGCCATGTTTTAAATTTTTTCTTTTCTTTTTTAGGCATCAGTTTTAAACTTCTTATCTTCTTCATTTCATATATAAACCAGTGTTAACATCTCCAATCACTATCTGTCACACTTGTTTGTCAGTGAATGATTCAACACGCAGGAGTGGGTTTAAACTGAATCTTGTTTGTACTCTATGACCGGACTGGATCGCATGTCAATAAGTGGGGGAACTAGCTGACATTCTGCGACCCAGTTCTGATCATATTATTTTGTAAGGGAACTAACTCTGAATAGTGATGGTAGAGCATAGGTAACGCATTGTCTGGTTTACTTTAATTTACCGCACAAGAAGTCAATAAAACACTAAGTTGTATGATTGTATATTAATTATTCTCGAATAGATAAGCATTCATATTTACAACACAAGTCATACATGTATACGAATATGCGACTAAGTCACCATGATGTGAACAAAGCCTGAAATTCCCTCATCCTCTAAATTACACAAAGTTAATATATATTCATGTCCCTTTCTAAACCCATTCTCTCAAATCTCAATAATCATTTAATGTATATCCTAGTTACTTGACCAATCAAAATACATAACTCCCAAAAAGGGGAGGGTAATCATTTTAATTCTGACTTTTGAACATATGGTGCCTTAGATACCTTTTTATCAATTACAATGTAAAGTTAAAGTATGAATTTTGTAACTAAAATATAACACTTCTATTGTATTTTATCTTAAATAGGAAATAGCTAATTACAGTCTTATTGTAATATTTTGAAGGTGCTAATAGCTTTACCTCAAGTTTACCTTAATCCCTAATCCAGAATTAAGAAAGACAGTCTAATTATGTTTTCTTTGAGATGTGAATTATAATTTATTTGCAATAAGCCCTTACTGAGTTTTGACATGTTGATATTCTAACACTTTAATTCATCCTAAAAGTAATAAAGAAAATATAGATTTATATAATATTTTAAACAAAACTATTCAAAAATATTGCTAAGGAAAAATACCTCATTTTTCCTTGGTGATATACTCTCCCTTCTTCCAAAAAAGATTTTTTTTTTTTTTAAAGAAAGAAGAAAAAAAAAATCTTTTCATATATGTACATAATATATAGAATACATGGCAACAAACATTATTTAACTTAACATTATATTCTTGCATGGCAAAGCAAATTATTTAAACAATAGTTAAAATACCATCATTTGTGAAAGTAAACACAACCTGAATTATGCACATGAATATCATTATGAATGTCATTGTATAGTTTTTGGAACACAGTCTTATGGTTTTGCTTCTGTTGAAACGAATCTTTTGACATGAATCTCCTTATGAACGTAATGAATAGTTATTTGAACACAGTCTTATGGTTTTGCTTCTATTGAAACGAATCTTTTGACATGAATCTCCTTATGAACGTAATGAATAGTTATTTGAACACAGTCTTATGGTTTTGCTTCTATTGAAACGAATCTTTTGACATGAATCTATTGATAATTGTCTATTGGTTTGATTTCTTCTGGAACATATCTATTCTGTTGCGCGAAACACGAAAAATCTTCTGGAAACAAACAAACCTTCCTCTCAGAAGAGAGTGGTACCTGAAGGATGTTTTATCGGCATAAACCAGTCGCCTGGTTTGAAGTCTCAATCCACATGATACTTCTGAATTTACATATGCTGGATGTAAATTCTGAATCCCAGTTCTGCATGGCGATTCATACCCGAAAATTTTGCTCCATACCAACCAGTCGCCTGGTTTGAAGTTTCAATCTGCATGAAACTTCTGAATTTTCATTATATGTAAATTGTGAATCCCATATTTGCATGGCGATTCATACCTGATAAATGGTTTTCCTGACCTTTGAAGTTTCAATCCGCATGAAACTGATGAAGTTTACATATGACGGATGTAAACTGTGAATTCCATATCCACATGGAGATTCACCTGACCAACTGACGTTTTACATCAACGAATGTAAAACTTTGAACTCCATATCCACATGGAAGTTTCAAAACGACACACATAGATTGCTTACCGTACATATTTTGAAATGTAACATGAAATCCATAACCTAATGGATTTTTCTTTATAATTGTTTGACAAGCATATTTAACCAGCGCTAGAATGAAGCTCAATATAATATCTCTTGTTCCCACGAGCAAAGCAGGGAAACTTGATTGCTGAACTGCAATTAACTTTGAAAATGTCTTGTATTCTGGTTCTTTTCTGTACTAGAATCCTCTGAAATAGTCTAAACTGTATTATTTCACAAAAGTTACTGAATCTTCTTCCATACTACTGAGTATTATGAGACACAGCTTACTTAAATCAACCTGTGACAATATATTTTGGCCTTAATACTTGAAATATTAATATCCTAACTGGAAATACTATTTAAATTCTTAGCCCTTTGAAAAGCGATGAGCAGAGTCTTCATGAATGGAGTAACGTTTAGTATCTACATGCACATAGCATCAATATTATTCTTGAGTTGAGACATGAATTAATTGAACACTATAAAGTACAACCCTTAAGGGTAACTAACACCTTACTTAAGTAATATAGGGTAAAAAATAATTTTTCAATTTAAATAACTGACTGACTAGATATTTATAATAATACTTCAAAACCAAAAATAACAATGATGTATTGTAATCCCAAAAATTTAAATGAAAAATGAATTTTCTTAATTTGATATCAATTCAGTATGAAGTCGTCACTTTCACACCGAACTGCCTGTTAGAAGTAAGGTTTGGTTGACGAGACCAACCCTTACTCTACAGTATATAAATGTACCTAAATATTTGTCATCACTTTTAACAATCATTGTTATTTCTAATTTATTTCTATAACTTTATTTTTGTGTTGAATGATAACAACAACAAAAATTACATTACTATTGAAAAAAAAATGAATTCCATGGTCTCTGTCTAGGACAAGAGCATGAACAGTGCTGAGATAAGTAAATAGATTCTTAAAAACTTAAACGAGCATGTCTTTTGCAGAACAAAAGCTCGATAAAAGCAGAACCTATAACCTACCCAGTTTGGTAAAGGATTAGTAAAGGCTTGGATCATTGCCATTGACCCTTGCATAATGTTCAATTAGTTTTAATCTGAACCTGTTAATGCCATGACAAGATGAATATTGAGTGGGTATTGCTCTTCGTGTTGTAGGTGTAAAGTGATGCAAAAACTTCATTGTTTCAATATCAAACTGTGATACTGGAACAAAATCATTTGGTTGTACTGGATTTTGAGAATTTGCACACATATTTTCTTCTTGTTTGAGAACTTTTAAGAACTGCCTGAACACATCAGGCCTTAAATCATCACTCATAAATAGAGTACTTCTTGGGCCTTGACAGACATTACCATTTGAATACTTTACTAAATATCTGGACTCTTTTTGATCTTTGTCTAATGTAACGCTTACAATTCTTTGATTAAGTACTTGACTGAATTTTTGACAATTTCCCTTGTTTTGAAATGAATTTGGTTTTGTTTTTGGAAATGCCTTATTAGATTGTATGACTTGAACCGAATGACTTTTAGCTGACTCAAAAAACTTGTGTTTCCCTGGACGCTTACGTTTTCGTCCTTTTGCATTGTATTGTCTATGGTAATCCTGTTTTAAATTTTCTGGAATACGTGATCCATCTTGCCAACTAGTTCCTGGTTTACCAGTGAATTTGACTTTGTATATAGGTCTACCCTGATAAAGACTATACTCAACAAGTTTTTCAATTTCATTGGACTGAAATGCTATATTCTGAGGGTTTTGTGATCTGGTTTGATTTTGTGATGTCCCTTGGTTTGATTTTTGTGAACTTTTGACCTGTGAATTATGTTTGTCAGGAATACTTGTATCATTTTGAACTGAATTTTGAGTCTGAACTTCATTTTGTGTGTGATTATTGTTTTCATTTTGCATGTTTTGTGAATCAGTAAGGTCATTATTATGCTCAACATGTGTGGCTTCGTCATTATCTTGCTCCTCTGCATCAAGAAGAATGTCTTCATATTCAGGCAGCAAATAATTTGGCCGGTCCAGGGGATTATGATAGTCTTTCAGTCTCTTAGCATGTACTAATGCTTTAACCTCTTTTTGTGTTTCTGTGTTTTTAATCTTAAAGGTATTATTTGGCCCTTTGTACAGAATTCGGTAAGGACCTGTCCATCTTTGAACTAATTTGTGAGACTTGCCTTTTGGTGTTCTGCTACAATATAGCCATACCTTTGCCCCAGCAACGAAAGTTGGTTGAACTGCTTTTTTGTCGTGTTGAGTTGTATATTTGTCTTGTTTTTCTTTCTGGTTTTTAGCTGCAACTTCACGGTAGAGTTTTAATCTGTTCACCAATTCATTAACATGTTGTCTAGTTTCCCTTGGCATGGTTTGTTTTGGTATTAAGGACACATCAATAGGCAGCCTCATTGGCTGTCCAAACAGTATTTCAAATGGTGAGAATTGAGTTGACTGTGTTGCAGGTGTGGACCTGTAAGCCATCATGATTGGAGGTATATAATCTGGCCAATCTGTCTGTTCTTTGTTACAATAGGAACGAAGGGATTGAATGATATAAGAATTCATTCTTTCACAGGCAGCATTGGTTTGAGGGTGATAACTACTGGTATAATGTCTAGTAACATCGCATAACTCACAAAGAGCTTGAACAAGCTTGGACATGAAATTGGCACCACGGTCAGATATGATACAACGCGGACTTCCCCAGCGGCATATTATTTCATTAAATAGTACTTTAGCAACCACCTTAGCTTCCATTGATTTTAAAGGAAACGCCTCACACCATTTTGAGTAACTATCAACAACCAAAAGCAGGTATCTATGTTTGTCAGGTGTTGTTGATAGCTCTAAAAAATCCATATGCATTCTTTCAAACACATTTTCAATTGGCAAAGGAGTAAGGGGTACTGGTCTCTGATGTTTAGAGTTCTTTGATTTCTGGCACTGCTCACATGTTC